CTATAATTTTGCTCTGTTTCCCTAGCAAGTTACATGCTGTTTGTCAATTAATGGTCTAAGATCAGGAAGCCCACTAGAAATAAAACAACCAGACAGTCTGCTTCCTTTCAGGAGTTTAAAACAAAGAGATGTGAGGAATGAATTGAAATTAATTAATCTAACAATTGTAACTGACATGGTTTAAATGATCCAGCATTAGTAGTGTTGCATTTTGCTCTAACTTAAGTACTGGCACTGTTTGTGGTTTACTTTGGTTTGATTTGTCCATATACCTCCCACTGTAGTCATCTGTGTCCAAACAAAATCATGTGCATCCAGGTTTCAAAAGTATTATTCAACCATGGTTTTAAGGATGCTAGCTGTGATGGGAATCTGAAATGCAGAATTTGCAGTGTCACCGAACCCATCTCTTCTTCATCTGATGTCCAGGACTGATTTGGAAATGAGACAGTAATTAGAAAATTAGATTCATGAAACGTACCCATGCAATGTCCCAATTTCCGCTCATGTGATTGAAATGCGCTGGTTCTTAAAAAAAAAAAAAGGTGTTTTCATTGCTTACAATTTGCTACCAGCTCTATGTGCTGCTCTACCTGGGATTTGGAGGTTGAGTCAGGGTCTTTTTGCCTTGACCTTGCCATAAACAAGAGAGACTCTGCAATATGTGCATAAAAGATGCAAGAAAAGTCATTGAAACCGTGATGTAAGTGGAAAATTTCTGGCTTTTCCAGGCTCTATCCCAAGGGCCAGTGCAGAAGTGACCCATCAAGACATGGTAGATTAATGTGTGAGAGAAGCAGAATTTATTTTATTCCCTCTTCTTCTGTATCCCATGGCTGTGCTGAGTTTGCAACTTAAGCAAACTAGAATATGTTTGTGTCAGGGAGAGGAATAGACATGACTAAGGACACATGGGAGTGACGATAGGGAGGAAGAAGTTTCTGGTTTTAGACAGCCACTTTCCTGACTAAATTCACTTTAAGCCCAGAACAAGTCAGCTGTCCTGCGAAAGGTTCAGAGGCAGCTAGGTAAGATCCCTTTGCAGTTCCAAATCTGCCACCCTTCTGCCTTGGCTCTCCCAGAGAAAGGGAAAGCTTTCTGCTTTGGAGGCCATTGTAAAGGTGGATGCAGTGTCCCAGACTTAATCTTGTTATTGCTTTAGGTTATCCACATGCTACAATTATTGAACTGAAGTCAAGGCCATTTCCAACGAGCTACAGGACTGGTGCTTACTGATGTGCTTCATGGACAATTCAGAACAGCAATAAAGGCAAGAGCTTGAAACACCTCTGTGTGTTAAATCTTGATGGACAAGAAGGAAGGTGCAGAATCTGCCAAACTTTCCTTCTGTGTCATGCAGAAACACTGTAATCCCAAAACAAGGACTGGATGATATTTCATTTTAAACTGGAATTACTTTGGTGTCATGCACTCACATTTCTGTAGATATAGCAGGGCTTTGAATGAGTTCCCATCATGCTGTCAAGTCTGCTTATTTTCCTGTCAGGTCTTGCTGTGGCTCCTGCATAGGTTCTTATGAATTGTCTTGTTGGCTTGTTTTTATAAGTTAAAAGTACAGGGGGAGAAAAAAACCCAGCAGTGGTACTTAGGGGAAGTCAGTTTGCATACACCTTGTCAGCAGGGCTGACTGCAACACAGCCGAGACAGATTAGCACACCACTGCCTGCCTAAAACAAATAAACACCAGCTGTTTATCAGACAGGGCTCAGCTTTCTCCAGGAGGAGGTAAACAGATTTATGCAGATGAACCTCTGAGGTGCCCTTGCAGCACAGCATCCTTCATGGCTACTCGGCCTTCCTTGTGAGTTACAGCCAGGACAGATGAGCACAGAGGTGCAAGGTTAGCACAATAACACAGCCATCCATGCTGTGCTGGGGCAGTTTGTCACTGCTTTATGGTTAAAGCCCATATTTAATAGCAATATAGAATTAATCATAGTGCTGATCTTGCTGTGAATGGAAGAATTTGATGTAAACTTCACTATTTTAGAACTCTAGCATGTGAAAAAGCAATTTATTACAACTCACTTGTTATTCCATTTTTACCTGTAATACCATGAAGCAAAATTTATGGCTATTTGAATTGAAATTGTGATCAGCGGAAGTACTTTTCTCACTCTACATTAAGATTGTCCAGTTGCTGTCAAAATACTTAACTTCATGACCCTTTCATTTTTACAACCACCCTAGTTTACTTTCAATCCAGCAGTGCTACGTGAGACCCCTACTGCAGAAGAATGCTCCTCCCTCAGTTCAGCTCTGTCTGCCACAATATCACCTTTAATTCTTCATATAAACGCTCCCTGAAGCTTCTCAGGTGACTCTAACAACTTGCTGTAAAATCTGGTCTTGAAGACAGATGGGATATTATTTTAATAATGTAGACATAACAACACAGTCTGGATGCCAGCTCTCAGAAATGTCTGATCATTTATTAAGATGTTGTTGGGAGGAAAAATTGGGAGCTGAAAATTTTGGGCAAGTCCCTGGAGGGTTCAGAAAGAGAAGTTTGCTTCAGTTCTCAGGGTGTTACTCATCAGAAATGTAAATATTCTCGTATTGGTGGTTAACCTGAGACAGTTTCCTTTTTAACTTTATGTCACACCAAATGGGGCAATTGAATTGCAATTGCTGCATTTCTGAGGTTTTTTAAGTGTCCTTGAGCTTCTCTTAGTACAGGATCATTCCCCAACAGCTTTTTTGACTGCTACTGTTCAGGAGACTAAGAATGCAAATATGTGGTTTGTCAACACAGTAAGTCCAAGGTACTGTAGTGATGAGTGCTATAGAAATGCTTGCCAAGAGAAGGAGGAAAAAACCCTTTTCCTCTACTCTATTAAGTAAATTGGTGCCATTTGAGCTTTTCTTAGATTAGGACTTTCCTCACCCATGTGCATCACTTAACATTTCAACGCATAATACCTCAGATTTCTCAAGGTACTCCTTAAACACTCAGCTAAACCAGGTGGAGAAGACAAAGTCCACATGTGATTTGTTCTCTCTAGCTGTCACTGCAGGTTCAAAACCAAAGTAATTTTGAATGTGCCTACCACCCTGCGCCTTAATGTTACTAATATTATTAATATTGGTAAGTAAGAGTTTTCAGTCTATTGAACAATTAACAGAAAGGTCAACAGGAATTCTCTAGAGAGGCATCTTTCATTACAAGGCCCATTGCTTATTCAATCCCACATTTGTCTTCCCAAACAAGCCAAAGGGCCAGAGATGGCAGTTCCCTAAACCTACCTATGAGCTCCTAATTAAAAAGTCTAATTGTATGAAAACCACTAGGATGTTTATCTTCTAATCCATTGGATTTTTGATGCATGAAGTGGTACCTATGTTGTTGTGGGGCACATGCCCCCTTGGTCGATATGTGTGCCTGCTCAAGCACCTGGGTGGCAGGGGCTGGTGTCAGATTGTAATCACTGTTAGTGATGTGTCCCTGCAGCCAGTCTGAAACCCAGGGCTAGTCACCTCCACCTCCTGCATCTGCAGTGCCCCAAGGGAAATGCACCTGAGCTAAGAGGTACATACCTGTACAGATCCTGTGGCACATGGAAGAGATTGAAAAGACTCAAAAGCAGTCCTGTTTGTGAGCAAACAGATTCAGGTTTATGAACACTCCAGGGCAGGAGTGGAAAGAGGGCACTGTCCCACTCCTCAAGCACGTAATGCCTCTGCTTGAGGAGACCTCTCATGTATCAGCTTTTGCTCTCTAAACACTGGAGAAGAGTGTGCAGCTCTCACTGCCCTACCACAGCCAGCAGGTTGAAACTGAGGGTGGTCTGTGCTGCCACGGTTCTCAAGGAAGGCAGTAAGCTCCACTGTAGGACATCTTAGAGGGATGAAGTTTTGGGTACTATGCCTCCAGAAAGTGCTATGGTTGCTGTGCATTTCTAGCTACTTCCACAGTTCATTCCAGGCATTAAAAAACCCTCTTTGTATTGCTGAGGAGCTGTAGGGGTGCTGTGATACCAGAAAAATGCTTAGAGGTTTGGCAGCAAGGAGCTGTGCCCTAGTGTTGTCCCCAAAAGAGAGTAGGAGACCCCCAAGTTCTCCCAGCAACTAATGGTGTTTAATTGTTACGCAGCATTAGTGGATATCCCATAGTTGCTTACCTACCCTTGTACGTGCTTGGTACCTGAGCAGATCTAGCCCTTAGGAATGACCTGTTAGCTGAACAGACCAATTTTCATTGGCCTCAGTACTTTTGGTAAATTAATATATACTGCTCTTCTGATTCTCCCTGAAACCTCAGTTGCTATTCTGTCAGTCCTCCATCCTAAATGTCAGTGGAAAGGATCATTGAAACTAATGGGTTCAGTTTGTCTGTTGTGCCAGTGACTGTATCCTGGGATGACCTTCTTTCTGAGGGAACAGTGGGTAGGAAATGACTGCAGGGTCAGGGTCCTGCTGCAGGGCAGTACTTGGCACTTCCAGCCAGCTCCTGCTCATGCCCTAAGGTCCATGGGAGTCACTGGTCCTCCTCCTCTTGGGAACACCTTGAGTTGCCAAGGTTCAGCCTCAAAAATCTGCAGTGTTTGAGTTTAAACTAATCCCAATTGAAATGCAAAACTCAACAGGACCTTCTAATCTTGCCTGGCCTGGCATCAGAAGTATGTGACCTTTGCTATGCCTCACAGGAGATGGATTATTTCCAGGATCATTCAGAAGAGATTCAGGTCTTTGTAGTAGAATTTGCCCCAAAGGTTCTTCTCCCTGTGGACAAGCTTGTCATGAGAACATGATAAACCTCAAGTACTTTGCTCACAGATGTTTTGCATGAGACTAGCTCCATCCCAGAGATGGCTGCGTTCCATGGGTGGGTAAAAAGATCCCTGTCGATATTTTTGCAAAGCAATTTCAGATCCCCTGCATCTTGCTAGAAAATTGAATTAGTTGTTTTCCATTCCCTGAATTAATCCTGATTCATTCTTCCCTCAACTCTCTCCCTCTTCCTCCCCTCCCTCCAACAGATGTCCAGCATATTAAGAGAAGAGACATCGTTTTGAAGAGGGAGCTGGGAGAAGGTGCCTTTGGGAAGGTGTTCTTGGCCGAGTGTTACAACCTCAGCCCCACCAATGACAAAATGCTGGTGGCAGTGAAGGTAAATCCCAGGGGCAGGGGCTGGCCAGCAGAGCGAGGCTGGATGAGCCTGCGTGGGAAAGGGAAGCAGGGGAGGGCTGGGGGCCAGGGGCAGAGATTTATCTGATGCCGGAGATTGTGGTAAATCCACTTAGTCACACAAAGTTTCAGTGTTTTGCTTCAAGGTTGTCTGTTCTCACCAATGCCAAAGCCTCCCTTCCTGCCGACACAGCCAGGAGACAGACAGGGAGGAGAAACTGGTCTGGAAGCTGTAAGCTCCTGTGCAGCTGCAGCAGCGCAGTGTGGATCCACTTCCCTCCACAAGGCACCGGGGCCCTGCTCCTTCTGGATTTTATCTTTTTGTGTAATATGCAGAAGCCAAAATACAAAAAGGCCTCAGTGAAAATGAGCACTGAAAAGCTAAGCATGACAAACCAATTTTCTGGGATCAATTTGCTGCAAGATGGGCACAGCAACGCAGCTCGGCTCCACACAGCTCCTGCTTGCCTAGCCATGGGTTATTTTGTGCCAACACAAGTCCAGCTTGGCTTGTGTTGTGCTGCTTGCATCCTTTTGATAGTCCTCGTGTGAGCTGTGCCCCATCAGCGTGACTGGGCAGAGGAGACCACTCAGTGCAGAACTACGCTCTCCTCTCAAGCAGCACCAGTTGGCAGACACACATAGTCTAATCCCTTGGATTTAACCAATGCCTCCTAACTCCTTGGAAGAAGATGTGCATTTGAACGGATGCTCTACAGGGAGAAAGGTTCCAGCACTCTCTCCAGAATGCCGGAGGCATCCAGTTATTTGAGAATTGTTCTAATCATTGGCAGTGCAAACCTTTTTTAGCTCATTTGTCCCCTTTTGCTCCAGCAGTGAAGTGCAAGATTGCACCTTTCACCTCAGACTGGTTAAAGTTGAGGCAATGAAGACACCCATATGATTAATTGCATGATTACAGGGCTAGTACCTGCCTATCAGTGTCAGCCATCCCTTAGCAAGCCTTCTCAAGTCCCTTCTGAGTTTCATTTGCATGTAGGCAGAAACAGCATCCGAACTTGTTTCTCTTAATTGCTACTATGAGCTTACATCTCCAGAGTGCCTTTCATCCTGCAAGATCATACAGTTCCAGCTCTGGAGCAGGGCCTTGGAATCTGGCTTCTTGCCAGCTCTGGGAGTGGCAGACAAAAAAATCCCTCTAATTTGGTCCACATTATAAGTCTGAGGGGAAAAAAAAAACGAAGAAAAAGACAGGAATAAAGGCTTTACATATTAAGTTGAGATTTGGCTGCATTTCCTGAAGATCTCATTCTCCCGACAGAGGCTGAGAACTACCTCCCTGGTTGCTGCAGCTCAGGGGCAGCAGCAGAACACACTGGTAAGGGCAGCTGAGTCCACAGCCCTGAGCCTGCTTCTGCCCTGCTCTCAGGGCCAATGGAAGTGGCTGTGTTACTCACTTGGTGAAATGGACTCAGATTTTTAGCAAGTCTAAAGGTTGCAGTCCCACAGATAAGCTGAATTTTGATGTGATGGCGTGGACAAGCCTCCTGTTTTATTCAGCTTGCTTCTAAAAGCATCCTAAGAAATGCACAAAAACTATATTCAGCAAAGAGTGTTGAGGTGACAAAGGCAAGTACTGGAAATGCTGGAGGGGCTGTATTCAGGGCATGTCCTCCCAACACATATTTTTCATTTCTCCGTGGACTGCTCCATCATGATGATCACTGCAGTGCTGAGAGCTCCCTAGATATGAGTGTGCCTGTTTTCACATCCTCCCAGAGAATTGCTGGGGTTATATCCTCCCTGTTTTGCAGAGGGCAGATGGAGAAGCAGGAAAACTGAATTGAAGGTATCCACTTATGTGGAGGATGGAGTTACTGACCTCCATTTCCAGACCCATGGACAGCAGGTACCAGGCTCACAGTGAGCCCTGCTGCAGTAATAAACACATGACACTTGTGCAGACCTGGCCCTGATGCTGTGTAAGAAGGGGGTTTCCAGGTAATATTGGAACAACTGGCACTTTGTGACAACAGCTGCAATCTGCAGGTGCTGAGGGACTTGCCAGAAGACATACAGGAACTGTGTGACAGGCACAAAAAAATCCACCCCAGACCTTCCTAGGAGAGGCATTTTAGTGGTTTTACTGAGACCTCCCTTCCCCTCCTCTGATCCTGGTCTTCTTTCCCTGCTCTATCCCTTCCAGCTCCTGTTTCCCTCATTTCTAAATGCTTGGCTATGCAGCAGTCGTAATGTGGGACTTTTTAATAACTTTTTTTGGCTTGTGATATTTACAAACTTGCAGTCCTAACACCTTGTAGAAATGATTGTGTGTGAAGGAGAGGAAACCTAAACTCAGTGCAGCTGAAATATTATGTGCATCCACAGAAAAAAGGGGGAGAGAAGAGTGATGGGGGAAGGGACTATTTTCCTGCAGAAAAATAGGGTAACATCAACATTATGAAGATATTAAATGACTAAAAGTAATTGGGTGCCTGAGATAAGGATGGATGCTTTGCCATCTGCACTATGTTACTAACATCCATCTAAATATCTCTAGTCATGCTATCCCAAAGGACAGAGGATTAAAATAAAATTATGCCATATGACTAGCAGTTTGGGGACAGAAGGAGATGAGACAGTGTCCTAAGGCTTGGGGAAAAACCTCAGCAGATCTGCTCCAAGGAGAAATGCAGCTGTTCCACAGGACTCGCTACACCCAGCAGTACCATGGGCCAGCCGAGGTGCAGCATCAGTGTGCTGGGCCCCTTCCTCCATGCTCTGCTTTCTGATGCTTAACATTTCCTTTTGCACATAAATTGCAGCCTGCACCTGCTCAAGCCACCTCTCCTGTCTGCATGAGGACATTCAAGGCAGGGGGAAAAGGGGGCAGGTGTGTTTGTGTGCAGATAAGGGGAGAACTATGTAGTATCCCCCACCTCTGAGGGGGAATCAGTGCACATCAGACGGACTTGGGATAACTGGAATAAGTTTCTTTGAGCCCTTTTCAGATCCTGTTAGGCTGCACAGTTCAAGCCAGAAGTGGTCCTAAACAGTCCTGGCATGTGGAAGATGGGGAAAATATAACAGACCCAGTAACTCCAAGCCAGATTTGCCTTTTAATTTCCTTAAATGTTTGCAAAGACTGTAATGATTCTTGTGGCCATTCCATCTTGGCAAATGGTCTGGACTTCAGCTTTTTAACTAAGTTCCCTCCCTTGATACCCTGAGCTGACAACATGCTGTTTTCAAACTAACTCTCCAATGTAACTGTACAATAATGCACAGACAAACCAGACCCCAGTTCTGGGGAACCCTCTCTCATCTCTGGCAGTGCCCACAGCAACATCTTTATGGCAAGTCTGTGATGTCAGGTTGGTCCTCACTGCCTGAAGCCTGCAAGCTGCCCTGTAATGGGAAAGTGGCATGCTCAAATTGTGGGAGATGAGATATTCTCAATAAGGGTACTGATTTCAGCACTGGTCTGCCAAGGGAGCTGTTATAAACAGCAGGGAATAAAAACATGATTTTAAAAATTATGAGAAAAGACTTGACAGTGTCCTTCTTCAGAGGCAGTTTGAAAAATCCACACAATAACTGCACAGCCAGGCAAATCCATCTTCTGAATAAAGGCAGTATAGTCAGCTATTTCAAAATAAAAGACAGACAGCAAGGACTGGCTGGCTCAGGAATTTAATAATAATGAGATATGAAGCCATTCACCCCTAGGTCACCAGTACAAATTCTGCCCAAGCTGGGAATAATTGGAAGCTATTACCCTCTAAGGCGTGTTTGCTGCTGCCTAGGAAATGATTTGGGGAACCCATTGGGCCAGTAACTACATGAATGAAACACGAAGGTGGTGCCACCAGCACCTACCACCAACCTGCCCAGTGCAACTGGGCCAGTGGCAGCAGTTCCTCTCCCCTCCCTTCTTCATCAGCTCCTCTGTGATGCTGTGACCTGTTTGTTCTGGCTTTTCCCCCAGCTGAGCCCACCCTGTGTGTGTTGTGTCCCTTATTTTAGGCACTGAAAGATCCCACCTTGGCAGCCCGCAAGGACTTTCAGAGGGAGGCAGAGTTGCTCACCAACCTACAGCACGAGCACATCGTTAAGTTCTACGGCGTGTGTGGTGATGGGGACCCACTCATCATGGTCTTTGAGTACATGAAGCATGGTGACCTGAACAAGTTCCTGAGGTATGTGTGAAGCAGGGCATGGGAGGTGCTCTACAGCCACCCCACAGCCTTGGTGTGGCTTGTTGTAGCCCTGCAGCGCAAGAGTGACACCACCACCACACAGATGCTGGTGGGCTAAGTAATGAGAGATGGTTGCTCCAAGGACAGCATGTAGGAGATGATAGTCCTAACCAGATTTGGTGATTGATTAGCCCTATCTCAACACTGCCTGATAGGCAGTCCAAGGAATGTTCCCTGTGAGCTGTGGAAATTAGGATTTTCTTCTCCCACCTCAGCAAGTTCGAAGCTGCAGGAAGCATGGCTGCAATCCTTCCCTGTCTTGTAGGGATAGAGGGTGTACAGCTCTGAGTCCTGTACACCCAGCAAAGCCATGCAAGAAGGCTACTGGCCATCACTTTCTCAGTCACCCAGGTCCTACCTCAACAGCACAAGAACCAAAATATTCTGTTGAGAATCTTTCTGGAGTCCTTGATCTGATTGGTATCTGGGACATTTACTGGTCTCTAGTTGTCATTCCTGTATTCAGAAAAGACCTGAGACCTTGGAGGAGTCTCAGGCAGTGCCTGTTGGGTTCATCCCTGATCCCTGGTCCCTAAGCCTCATCAGACAGAAATCCCTTAACCTGTGGCACCATGCTACTCAAGAAGCCAGGCAAGACCTGAAAAAATGCCATAATTGCCTTCCCTGTCTCTAAAGGGACACAAATTGCTGGAGCACCTACCACCCCATCATTCAACATTGTCATTCAACCATTTCATCAGCCTGAGGCAGATCATTTGTGTGCCCCACACCCACCAGCAGCAAGGGGCAGGGAGCAGCTGTGGGAGGATGTTTGTGGTGCTCTTCTCCCACGATGCAGAAATTCTGCTCTGAAACCTGCATGCAAGTGGAGTGGTACTTACCTCTTGAAATAATTAGTAGTTTTATTTCCCAATGTTTAGAAAATTGGACCCTTGATATTTTCCTGTTTTGACTGCTAAGTGTGAGTATGATTGCAGGAGGAACAAGAAGCTTGAGCACTGCAGGTCTAGATCTGGGGTTGGGATACATTCAGTGAGTATTCTTCTACCATCACAGTCAGTTTCTGACCAGGAGACACAGGTGTTTCCCTGAGGTTTTCACTTCTAAACAATCACCTACACCAGAAGACCTGAGGTTTCTTCTTTCCTCTGCCAAGCAGTGCCAACCTGTCTGCAGCTCCCTTGGGGCTTTTGCAGGGCAGCAGAGGGGTGGGAACACTCCTGTATTGGTTTTCCTCCTCATTTTGGCATAGCTGTGGGTAGATTGAATGTGATTGAGCAGCAGTTTTTATAGTGGCCTGATTCACCCAGTCTGCAGCAGGAGACAGTGACTCCCAGACACTGGAGGTGAGGGATGCTGGGAGTCTGTAAGAACTACTGAGATGGACTTTTTCCACTTTAACTGCAGAAATTGGAAAAGCAGTAAAATGGAAGAGGATCAGTTTAGACCCAGTTTCCTAGAGAAAAGCACAATAAATAAATTCCCTTTTGTGTGCTTCTCAGAGAACAAAGAGTTTTATTGGTCTGTAAAATTATCTGGTGTGGCAAGGGGAAGTACTAGGATCAACATGTACCAGCTGGGTTAGTGGTGGCATGTACTGGGATGGCTCTACACACCTCCCAGGGCCCCTGGGTGTAAGACCATTGCTGGTGGTGCAACAACAGACCCTGCTGTCTGCACCAGCTGAGACTGCAATTGTGGTGTCCTGCCTAATAGAATATACCAATAGAAAAGATCTCGACATGGAGAAATGCAGGTACTGTTCTCCAGGGAGCACAGCATCCCTAGGGGTGGTGTGCACAGGGGCTGGATTCTGCCCACAGGCTGAGTGAGTGGCAAGGCTGGGAGTTCCTGGCATGCAGACCTGCTGCTCGGGGGTCTGCACTGACCACATCCCACTCTGCTCACCAAAGATGTCCATCGCTTCCTCCCTTTCATTTTGTCACTGTTTTTCAAGCTTTTGCTTCCTATCTGGGACAGCTGCAAACTTGAAGTACGTATTTTTGCACATTACCATTACAGACCTTCTCTGTGGTCTGTACTAAGTCATTGCCATTTACTGTTAACTCAGACAAGCAAAAGGTTTGGTTAGAAAAGTTGCAAACTTCTGGTGTTTTTGTGTCAGCCCTTCTGGTGGAGCAGCCTACAGTCACTGTGTTGGGACAGAAAAAGGAATTTCAGAAGAGGAAGCTGGAAGGGTGGTTTTTCTTCCCCAAAGTCCATAATGGAAAAAAAACTCCAAGAGTTCTTTAACAGAGCATCCACCCAATTTTATGGCCTCTCTGTAAAGCTTGGGGTTTCCCATTCCCCAAGAAAAGATGGGCAGACCCTTCTCATGTTCCCTGTAGGCTTCTTGACACAACTAAATGTACGAATATCCTTCCTGTTAATCTCATAAATGTGTTGATTTTTCTTTCTTCTGGATTATAACCATATGGGATGGAGAAGGGAGGGAGGGATGTGTATGTACTATGTAGGACATACTGAGATGTGTCCTATATAGTAGGTTGTACAGAGCCAGTGAAATAAGGGTTTTGGCTGTTTGTGACCATCACTTGTTCCCTTCAGACACAGACATTTCTTTGAGGGCCATTATTGTATTTGAAAAAGGTGGAAGTAGTGAGATAGTAATACATCCTTCACTTCTCACCTAGTAATGTTTACCTTTGATGACAACAGGTATCAGCTGCAGCTAAATATGGTGTAACTGAAGGCATGAGTGGCACAAACTGTCCAGCACAGTTTTAGAACTTGCTGTTTGTCCTGCTTTGCTGTTTTTAGCTAACCTGCTCAGTTCTGGCTCAGCTTCACCTGCTGATGCCATCTGTTGTCACCACCAGGTAGTTTCCTGGGGTAAACATCTCCGTGGGCTGTTTAAATAAGACATCAAGCAGTCATTTCTGCATGCACTCTTCTGCAGCTCCTTCAGCAGTTTTTCCAGTGTGTTGCTGCTCCCACCATACCCCTGAGCCTCCAAGATGCCACTGGCAGTCCCAGCCCTACTGCTCACACTGCTGCTTCCAGACATTTTACCATGTATTCAGCAGCATCTCTCACTCGTGCCTCCTCAAAAACACTCCTGTTTCTTCAGTGTTTTTTTTCTGGAGTTCCTCTTCTCTTCCAGCTGTTCTTTATACCAGGAGGGGATCTTCAGAGCCATGTTCCCAGTGGTAGGGCAGCAGGAGGTAGATGAAGAGGGGGGCATTTGTAAAAATGACCCCCAAACATGTGGATGCTCATCCCTTTGGTGCACCCTAAACCCAACACAGCAGTTCAGGAACAGAGATAAAGGTGGGAAACAGTTTGGATCTTGTGGTCTGTTGTTCAGTCTCATGTCAGGGAGGAGGAAAAGCTCTGAATGTGCAGTTGCAACTTACTGTCTCTCTGTGGGGTTATGCTGGTGGCAGGGGTGAAATGCCAAGAATCATTTCAAGGAGAACAGTATGAAAGCCTCGGAGGAAATGCTGTACCATATGTGAGTCACAAGGAGGAAGGTCACAGCAACATCTCTTGAATTTCCCTAAATATGAGAGCTTTTGTTATTCTATCTTCACATGGGTTACCATAGGGTGAGCTGTACCAGGGGAAGAGACATCACAGAGGGAGCACAGTACAGAAAGGCTTGGTATACAGTGAGGAAGGGGAGAAAAAAGGAGCAGGACAGGAGTGACTGACCTAAAGTTTTTTTTTTTCAGCAGAATATTTCCTTTTGTTGCCCAGGATGTTCTCTGCATCTGCTGCCACCCAGGGCTAAACTTTGCACCTGTGTTCATGCTGCCACAGTTCACAGTACCTGTATTACCTCTGGGATAGCTCAGGATATAAAAGGAATTCTCCAGGGCCGAAGCTGCTAGTGTTCCTCTGAAACATTTTCTGTGATCTCTGGCTGTATTTATATTGATCAGGGGGGTGGTTGTTTGGTGATAGAAAGCAAAGAGGAGACTGTTTGGGACTGATAAAAAGATTAGCTAGCAAGAATATGACAGTTGTGGAAGAAAAGGGGATGATATCTCTACCTCTAAGAAGTTTTCAAAGCTGTAAGAATTAACTGGAACAAACATATAAATACCTGGAGGCTTATGAGTTTTGCATAGGACTTGCCAGAGAAGAGTGTCCATGTTACATCAAGCCAGTGGTCCCTCTATCCTGGCAGTCTGTCTCCATCTGTGGCCATAAGAGTTTGTGTGCAGTAGACTAAGGATAGGAGGAGGATGTATGGCATCCACTCACCCACCAGATGTTCCCTCAGCCTACTGTTCTCTTAAGCTTGCTTTCTTTCTTTCCACTAGAGCTGTGTGTACATCCTCACGGTGCAGAGTTGGGGTCTAGCCCCCACTCCAGCAGGAACAGCGACTGTGTGGGATTTCCATCTCCTGGTCACTTTTGAGATCCAACTCTATGCTCTTTTTGCTTCTTTCTCCCTATAGGGCACATGGCCCAGATGCTATGATTCTCGTGGATGGGCAGCCTCGTCAAGCCAAAGGGGAGCTAGGGCTATCCCAGATGCTCCACATCGCTAGCCAAATCGCCTCTGGAATGGTGTACCTTGCCTCCCAGCACTTTGTCCATAGAGACCTGGCCACCAGGAACTGCTTGGTTGGAGCCAACTTGCTGGTGAAGATTGGAGACTTTGGGATGTCAAGAGATGTCTACAGCACTGATTACTACAGGGTAAGGCAGCTCCAGCAGCAGTCTGATGCTCAGAGCAAAGAGAGACTAGGAAATGTTACAGTAAACCATTTTTTGGTGTCCTTGGGCTCACTTGCTTGGTTATTTTCTCATTGAAACATGCACACAGATGTTCATCAGGCATCCCTGAACCACTGTCCTTACTGCTTTTCATTCCTGGACATACTTGTAGTTCAGACATCCATGCAGATACCTGCACAAAGAGCTCTCGGTGGTGCCCCAGCACACAGTCACACAACTTGGGATGGCTCTGAAGTCATCCCATCCTTACTTCCTATTTTTGTTCTCTCTTTTTTGAAGACATTGATAAATTAAAGGTAATCCAAAGAGATAATAAAGACTACAGGCTGTGACCTCTGGTGTTAGATTAAAGAAACTTAACACAGGGACATAGAGAAAAGTCGACTGAAAGGCTGACTGATAAGTGCATAAAATATGGAAGAGGAAATAATAGGCAATTTAGGTTCGACCTCAGAACACGTTTTTTTCCCACCAGGGTCATCATTTAGACAATGGAACAATTTGCCAGGGGCAAGTTGCTGAGGGCCTGTCATTAAAGAAGTTCAGGAAGCAACTAGATAAAAATGCCTGAGTTTAGTGCAGAGGCTAAT